AAAACATAATATGAACTATATTTTTTTTATTTTTAGGACTAAAATTGGGCACCCAAACATAATAGGGACTATATTTATTTGTTTTAAGGACTAAAATTGAGCACGAAAACATAATAGGGACTACATTTTTTGTTTCAAGGACTAAAATTGGGCACAAAACATAATAGAGACTACATTTTTTGTTTTAAGGACTAAAATTGGGTCCCAAAACATAAGAGAGACTACATTTTTTTGTTTTAAGGACTAAAATTGGGCAGCAAAAAATAATGGGGACTCAGTCTGGATACCTCCTAAACATGGAGGACCAAAAGTGGACTTTACCCAAAAAAAAAAAAAATGTATAGAAACACGTGTACCAAATGTATTTGAGTGCGAACATTTTTGCAATGAATCTTCAAACAGTGCATTATTAGCAATTAAATTTATGTTTATTTGAAGGACCAAATGGTTAATGTACAATTTTTTCTATTATTTATGGAGAACAATCTATCTATCTATATATCTATAGTAATATAAAGAGGTTGTTGGAAAAATACAAAAATAGTATGTTTGACTTAACAAAATAAAGTGTTGACTTACTACTTTAAGTAATTATTACTACATTAAGAAATAACCATGTAGGTCCCACACATTTAATTAATTAACATAAAATTAATGATTAATGAATAACATAAATAACATAACTAATTGATTCATCCATCCTTGCATTTTGGAAATTTGTTAAACAATATGTAGGTCCCACACGGTTTAATTAATTAACATAAAATTAATGAGTAGTGAATAACATAAAACACGTAACTAATTGATCCATCCATCCTTCCATTTTGGAAATTTGTTAACCAATTTTACCGAATTTTGGGGGATCACCATATCTAATTTTGTTAAAAAATATTACCGGATTTTGTGGGATCTTATTTCTTCACAAATTTCATAATTGATACAAAATTTCAACGATAATTGATCGACATTTCTTACCAGATTGATACTGACTTTGAAGGAAAATATTTGTTCGCAAAGTTGTACATAATTTCTTAGAATTATTATGATCGTAATCGTAATCGTAAATTACTTACCAAATTCAATAATAACAATCTCCTTTTTTTTGCAACATTATCTTCATCACAAAAGTGATCGACATTCCTTAACAAATTGATACGATTTTGTAGGAGTCTTAATATGGAATAAATATATCATTATCTGAATATCATACCATTTGGATTTTTTTTCTCCGATTTAAGTGGATAAACATATCATCCGATTTCAATTCCATTTGAATTTTTTTTAAATTTGAAAATAAAATCTTGCTTATTTATCTAACCACAATTCCTGTTTAATTCAATATTTTGTGATTCTTTCCCATCCTCCCCATAAGCCCTAACCCCCACCGCGACTCCCCCTTGCCCTCCTCCCGTGGCGCGCCGCCGGTTGACTCTCCACCATCAGCTCAATGGCTAGCGACAGGAGTGGCTCCCACGTGCCCCCTTACCCCGCCACGTTGCGCTCGATAAGCAGTCGACAACTTTCGGCACCACCTCGACGGCTCCGGCGGCCTGCGTGAGAGTATTCAAGACATCGATTTAGATATTGAGTCCGTCACGAGGATTAACCTGTGGTCTGCTTATTCACCGGTCTCGCCCTGTAACTTTTGATTTTCTCTGGTTTTTTAGTTTAATTTTTGCTCTGTTTTTCTGCCTTTTTTTTTAGAACTGTATCTTTACATTTATGTAATGTTTGATTTTTCTCCTTCCTTCAAAAAGTTGTTGATGGCAGAAGAGGGTTGGTCGCGAATGAAGCAAGCTAGCCGACTTCTTCTCGACGGCCGCACGGCGGTGCTGACCGATTTTCATGGCTGTTGGATGCTTGCGGCTGGGCTGGTGGTTTAGAGGGCCTGACCGAAATTCTAGTGCAAGGCTGCTGAAGGCGGATGGACTCGGCAACATCGTGCTGGCCCTTTCATATTGAAGGTCGCCTGAATAGACATAGCCTGGCGAGCTGAATGGTACCACATTAAGAAACATGATTTGTTTATGAAACTCTGATGCTGATAAAATTTTAACTTATTTAGGTGAAAAGATATGAAGAGTTGAGAGAAGAAAATGACTCTACCGATTGGTTCGTATTGTCTCATCCCCTATTTAGAACATTGGTAAAAAGGTGTTCCTCTTATACTCTTATAATTGTGAATTTGATAGTCTGATAACTTTCTGTAAAATATGCTGTTAGTGTAAACTTTTTTCTTCTATTTTTTGTTCTTTCTTCCAGTGTGTTGTTGAACTTATATGGAGGGACTACTTCAGGTTTCTATCCATCAAGCAAGAAAATTCTATTTTTCACTCAGGTAAATGACCTGATATTAATCACCTGACACTTTTAAGTAACACGATCTTTTTAAATAAGCTCTATCCCCTTTTGTCAGGCAGTCCACGGAATGTAAAGCCTAATTGGATCCAAGACCAAGCACTCTTGGATGCTTGGAGGGATGGTCGAACTGGGTATCCAGTGTTTAAAGTTCTTATTATTGTTGAGATATTCTTTTTCAATGTTTAACAGTGAAAAAATTATGTAAATCATTTTCAAAGTTTTTGTGAACTGGTTTATCACCGGTCACCTTTTAGGTATCCTTTAGTTTATGCAAATATGTAAGAATTATCGGCTACTGGCTTTATGTCAAACCATGGGCGGCAGGTAAATTTAAAAACAATTAAATAATATTTTTATGGTTCCTTTATAGGAAATTGAGTGTTGAAACTTTGTTCGACAGATTGTGTGTATTTCTTGAGCGAGCTGAATGGAGTACAAGATGGAGCTTTCAGACTTGGTCGGACATGGTTGAACGCCGACCAAGTTGCTGGCCGAACTGGACACGTGGCTAAGGCGCAACATATTGTTGGTCGGACACCGGCGGGAGGACTGGAGCGTGACAAATCTTGATCCATGAAATTGCCGTTATTTTTTGGATTTTTTTTACATCCAGAACGATAGTGCGTGAAGAAAACGATCCAAATTCTCCGGTAGAAATTTTTGGGTGAGAGAAAGCAGTTGTAGTTTCGTGGCATTTTGTTCTGAAGTTAGAAGAGAGAGACAATTTAAATATGGACTTAGTTTCTTTATCCGTTTTGAATTGTAATCTATTAATATTTAATAAGAATAAAGATTTACTTAAAAAAAAATAATTTATTAATATATAATAAGAATAAAAATTTACTTAAAACAATAAAGATTAACATATAAAAATCTCGCGCAAAAATCTGTTGATTACTCCCACATCACTTTATTTATACGTTCGAAAATTTGTATATTTTTAAGTTTGGAAAATCAATTTGTGTCCATGTTTCTCTTACTAATTTGTGTTCATCTCTATTTCTCATCTTACCAATCATTTTTTTAAAGGAAAAATCTACTCCACAGCTTAATTGAACAAAATTTGTTTAACAATTTGTTTATCTCAATTTTTTATCTTACAAATCAACTTTTATTTTATAAATTATTTATAAAATTTGTTTATCTCAATTTTTTACTAATTGATTACAATAATCACATTAATGTCACGTATCTTTTTTTTTTTAAATATAGGAATTTCACATTTAAGAAAATTGGTACTACATGTACAATAAATGAAATAAAAATGTTTGAAAAAAAAAAACAGCTTATATCAGTTAAAATCATGACGGTGCATTTATCATATAGCCCGCGTTAGATGTTATTGATTTGGTTGTGGAGACTCATTATATCCAAATAAATAAATATATGATTTTTGTATATTTTCTATTTTTTTTTTTCTTGCAACGTGATGTTAAATATAAATAATTATATTTAAGATAAAATTTTAAAAAAGATTTTTAAGTAACAAGCCCGTCCGTGGATGCACACTAGTTAAAAGAATAACCTTTTAAGGATTCCCGCCAATTTTCCCGCCAATATATGTATATATATAATCATCCGCCAATTTCATTAAGTCCTAAAAATTAGCAATTCGGCTGATTTATGGGGTAGAATTTGTTATTCTCTTTCTTTTTTTTTTGGTATCAAAATAAATATTTGTAATTATTTTTGGTATCAAAACTAATAATTTTCAAATTGTGTGTAATCAAATAGTTTTAGATGGAACACCATAAATTTGGTATGATTTTATTAAGTTAGACTTATAAAATTTTAGATACTTAAAACAAATTGTTTAGACATTTTTTTACATATTCGTCTATATATATATACATATACACATACACATAATTGATGTTAAATTTAAATATATGTAGACATGTTTTATTTACAAAATAGTCTAGATTTTTTTTTTTTTTTTTACACAATGTTAAATTCAAATGTTTTTAGATATGTTTTTCTTCTAAAATTATTTAGAAAGTTTATAGGTGATTTCACATCTTTCAAAAATAATATAGAAAAATTTGAATACTATTACATATACTAATATAATATCTTAGGTGTTCTTAATATTAAACATACAAATTTTATATTCTCTTATACAAAATAATGTAAATTTTATATTCTATTATAAATCGGAGGCCGCTGACCGCCAATTCCGCCTAGGAGCCGCTAACCGATTTTTTCTTTCGATTTGTGCAAATCGGAGGCGCCCGAGTACCGCCTAGACCGATTTTTAGAACATTGGTTTAAACTGCTATGTCAATTTTTTTTTTTTTTTTTTTTTTCAACTCTTATTACAATCAAATAAATCATCATACATTATTTATCATTATTGTGAGAAAAATGAAAATGCAGGAAATGGGATATTGATGAAATTAACATCTTTGTAAGCCAATGGTCAGTGCTACATTCTACCCATTAGAGCCTAATTTCTAATGAATTATTGAAACAAAGAGAGTACTCAAACGAGAATCCCACAAAATTTGATTTCATTACAAACTGGGAAAACACATGATGATAGAGCCTAATATATATATATGTACACACAACAACAGCCTGGCCAGCCGCTTGATCTTCAAATAACAGCTCAAATTTAAGAAGAAAATCAAGAGATTTGATTAAAAAGTGGGGAGTCGATCGGACCTTTTGGCGAACCTGCCTTTGATTCTCGGCCGCGTCTCCGCATATGCCTTTCTGGACGCGTATCTAATGGTTTTCTCAAAATTCCTGTTCTTCCTCTTCTCTCTGTATCTCAAAACCCTAGCCTCTCTGTTCAGTCCCGAAACCGGAACCGGAGAAGGAGGAGGATCCGCTTCGGATTTCTCCGACATGGCCGTCTGCTCTGGGACCACACCCACCTCCATCGATGAAGACGATACCTGTCATAATTTAGACAATTTACAACTCTTTATAATTCTATTCATTTCATTAGGAATGTACAAAATTGTCATAATTTAGACAATTTTGAACTCTTTATAACTCTATTCATTTTTAGGAATGAACAAAAGGAGACTCACACTTTGGCTAAGGGATTGGGCTGTGAAGTTGTACATGAAAGGCTTGGGCACGGAAGAATCCATTTCGTAGGTGGGGAACCCATCCACAACCGGCCCTGGGTAGTGGCCCGGCCCGGACTCGGCCTTACTGCTCTGCACGGGGACAACCCCGTCGGCAGAGTACCGATTGCGCGGCTCGTCGCCGATCAGATCCATGTCCAGATAGGGGTTCTTGTCGGCGAACAGGTACTCGGCGGACTTGTACTCGGGCGACCCGGATTCTTCGGGCTTGTCGTTGGCGTTGGGGAGAAGGAGCCAAGAGGCGGCCTCCGCCTCCTCCTCCTCGAAGAAGTCGTCGGCGGCGGGATTGGCGTCGTAGAATGGGGCGAGAGGGAGGCGTTCGTGGCGGCGGGCGAGGGGATTGGCGGAGTGGATGTCGCGGTCGCAGGCGGGGCAGAGTGCTGCGGCGTCGGCCTTGCAGGTGACGGCGGCGGGGGAGTGCTCGCAGACCTCGCAGACCCAGACGCGGGCGTGGCGGGACGCGAGCTTGCTGGCGGCGTGGATGTTGGCGTCACACGCAACGCAGAGGAAGGCGGAGTCCGCGCGGCAGAACACCGTCGATGGGGCAGCCTTGCACGAGTCGCAGATCTTAGCCGTCAGGCTCCATGTTCCACTACCCATTTGATTTTCCTTTTTTATTTTATTTTATTTTATTTTATTTACTAGTCTTAGCCTCTCTCTTTGTCTCTAGCTTTTCTAGAGTGAAGCAGCACTGTCTGTGTTGCACTGCTGTATGTTTGTTGGGAAAATAAGCCAAAACGAGCTGAGGAGATCTAAGCAATAGCCAATAAAAACCCGACAACGGGCTAAATCTTAGCCAAATTGTTATTTTTTGTGGCCCAAATGACCTTTGTGGAGGGCCTAAGAAATACTCCTTCACAGGCCCCGTCCACCGGCCCATCTCCTTAATAGCATATAGGCCCTTGTACGATTCTTTTTGTTGTTCCCCAATCTCTCTTCCTTCTCAAACCCTAGGCAAGTTTGAATTCAAATTGTGTCTATCCTTTTTTATCGGTCGGTACCCGTTTTTTCCAAATTTCTCTCAACTTCTGTTTTCTCCAAGTATTAAAAACCCATGCCTGTGAGTTGTAGAAACAGAGAAGCGAGGGGCTCTGGGTGAATAGCAAAAATTAGGTGCTGTGAGTGCTTTGTGTATGTGAGAGCCTGTGAGTGCTGGTGTGCATAGGGATAAAAACATAGGGCATCAAATTATGAGTGTTGTGAGTGTAAACAAAATGAGAGTGCTTTTTTTTTTT